CTAAATACTCAGAACAACACCTCCGAACTCGCCTCTCAAACTCTGCTTCAAACTCAGAAAATCAACCTTGAAAATCACCCCTACAACCTTGGAAAACTCAATCCTCAAACCTTGTTTATCTTCTCTCTCAACCCTGTTACTTACGTCCCTGCAACTTCCCCTACACCACAGTACCCACAGGAATCCCCAGGAGCCCTCTAGACCCCCAGGAAACCCCTTGATCGTTGGTACTCGTCGGATTGTTGGACTTGGCGTCGGATCGCTCGAAACGGACCCTCAGGACGCTTCGGACCCTCGGAATCCGCTCGGAAGCCTCGGAACAGCCCCTAGGCCCTCGATTCTCTCTCGGAACGGCCTCTAGACCGCCCGTTAACCCTCCAAACCCCCCATCTACTTCGGAACGGCTTCAGGACCGCCCGTTCGTCCCCAAGCCTCCCTGACCATCGGACAGACCTTCGGACGGCCCCAGACGTCGTCGTCGACCTCTGACGACCTTTCTGGCCAGCCAGAAGCATCTAGAGGCCCCCAGGACCCTCCAGCGCAACAGCGAAGCCCCTGACGGCACTAGGAGAGCCCCAGAGCGCGCAGCGACTTCGCGACGAACCCCCAGACTCACCGAACGTTCCTGAGGCCGTTTGCGACCCTCCGCAGCGCTTCAGAACCCCCAGACCCCACAGGAGGCCCCAGGTCGCCACCTGACACCCCAGAAAGGACCCCACAGCGCCTAGCAGACCCCTGGACGCTACCTGAGCCCCACTACCGCCTCAGTCACCCCAGAGTGAGGAGTGGACAACCCAAGAACCCCAGAACACCCCTGTAACCCCCTGAAGGAGGACACTCACGCCCCAGAACCCCCTGAATCCACTAAGAACACCCCTGAACCCACTAAGGAACCCCAGACCCCTGTGAGAACCCCCCGAACAGCTACAGAACCCCTGTGAGAATCCAGGATCCCCAGAAAACCCCCTGAAACACCCCAGGACCCCCCTGAACACCCAGAACACTCCCCAAAAGACCCCAGAACCCCCCCAAGACACCCCGACCCCCAAAGAGAGCTTACACGAGCCGTTTGGCGAGGCGTAACAGTACAAAAGTAAGCCTCCACAATTTTAGTTGCACCTTCCGAAGTCTCTACACACCGTCAAAGCATTACCTGCCACTCTGTGAGCCGCCCCGCGCTATTTCGCTATGAACGTAGACCCAAAGGACGCCAAGCTCGCCGAGGTTCAGGCGCAACTGTCCGAACTTGTGACCATGGTCAACGAAGAACGCAAGGCCAGGAAGGAGTTAGAGGCGCGGTTGGCCAAGAAGGAGGCCGAACTGGCGGCAACCGCGGAAACCGCCAACACCCCACCGCAAGCTCCAACTGCGCCGGTCAAAGGCCCCAAGATTGGCGCCCCCGAAAAGTTCGACGGCACTCGTGGAGCTAAAGCGGAGGTTTTCATAAACCAGGTAAACCTCTACGTCCTGGCCAACGGACACCTCTTCAACAACGACCGTGCCATCATGGTCTTCATCCTGTCCTACTTAACTGGACCGGCCAGCTCGTGGGCCCAACCGTGGATGAGGAAGGTAATGTGTGCAACCAAGACTATCAAGCACGACGATTTTGTCACCCAGTTCAACGCCATGTACTGCGACACTGAGAAGAAGACCAAGGCTGAAGCGGCCCTCCGAGCGCTCAAGCAGACCAAGTCGGTATCTCATTACACCCACCAGTTCAACCTGCACGCCCACAACACCGACTGGGCACCCACCGTCCTCGTCAGCCAGTACCGACAAGGCTTGCAATCCCAAATACGGCTCATGTTGCTGATGAGTCGTACCGAATTCTCGGAACTGGCCGACATCGCCACAATGGCCTTGCAGATCGACAATGAACTCCACGGCCTAGCACCCACTGAGACGGCCAAGACCCCGGACCCCAATGCGATGGACTTGTCAGTCATGCGTGGCCGCCTTTCGGATGCGGAGAAGACCAGGATGATGCGAGCGGGCCAGTGCTTCCGATGCGGGAACCAAGGCCACATCTCGAGGGATTGCCCAGACCGTGGACAGAAGGGGAAAGGAAAGGAGAAGTCCCGGATTGCCGAACTCGAAGAAGAGGTCAAACAGTTGAAGGCAGGAGGCAGTAGAGCGGAGTCGTCAAAAAATGGAGGAGCTCAGGAATGAAGGATGTGCCTATCCTGAGCAGTGGAGAGTTGTTTGTTGTTAGCATTGGCGCCAGTGAAATTTTTTCAAGAAATCAAATTGATCCGCGTTTATTTATTTCTTTGCCCATCGTGCCACCCAAACATTCTCGAGCCACAACCCCGTTGCCACTCCCTCCCGCTACTTTTCTCATTGACTCTGGAGCAACCCATGACGTGATTGGCGAGTCTTATGCCAAGTCTACGGGACTCCTTGATATTGCCAGACCCTCTCATCGTACCATCTCTGGTTTTGACGGTTCCTCAAGCCGTTCTTCATTTGATATCCACCTGACTCTCGACACCGACCCATCTCCTTCCCCATTCATCATCACTCGCCTGAAAGACTCTTACGACGGGATCCTTGGAATGCCTTGGATCCGTAAGCATGGACACCTCATCGATTGGACTGACCAGAAATTCAGGAAAACCCCACAGGATTTTGCAGCTGTTGATGCAGCTTCGTCAAGTCCGAAAAAACCCTCACCTTTTGGCGTGGAGCCCGTGAGGCAAGCTAGGATTTTTGACGAGGGGGTGTGTGTCTCTGACACGTTTACACCCCCGCAATGTGAGTTCGCTGCGGTCCCTTCCAAAATTCCTATTGAAACAGCTGGCAAGCCTCTTCCCTTCCTAGGACATAGCACCACCGACCGGATCCCAACCACCGAAGACAGGACCATTGCAACTGCCGAGCCAGTTTTGCCAATTCCGACAAAGGCCTCATCTATTGGCGTGGAGCCCATGAGGCAAGCTAGGATTTTTGGCAAGGGGGTGTGTGTTTCTGACACGTTAACACCCCCGCAATGTGAGTTCGCTGCGGTCCCTTCCATAAATTCTGTTGAAACAGCTGGCAAGCCTCTTCCTCTCCTAGAACTTGTTCCAACCGCAGATGTCAGCGCCGCCAAAGCCTCTTGGTCAACATCAGCTCAACTCGCGGCGGACAGCAAGGCCAAGACCCCTGTGAAGACGGCAGAAGAACTAGTCCTGACCCACTATCACCGGTATATCAACATGTTCCGCAAGTCCAGTGCCCAGAAACTGCCACCCAGAAGAATCTACGACTTTCGAGTGGACCTGGTGCCGGGGGCCCTCCCCCAAGCAAGCAGGATCATTCCCCTGTCACCCGCCGAAAACCAAGCACTAGACACCCTGATCACTGAAGGACTAGAAAACGGCACCATCAGACGAACCACTTCGCCCTGGGCAGCACCAGTGCTGTTCACCGGGAAGAAAGACGGCAACTTACGCCCATGTTTCGACTACCGGAAGCTCAATGCGGTTACCGTGAAGAACAAGTACCCCCTACCCCTGACGATGGACCTGGTTGATAGCCTACTTGACGCCGACACTTTCACCAAGCTTGACCTGAGAAACGCCTACGGAAACCTACGTGTAGCGGAGGGTGACGAGGAGAAGCTGGCTTTTGTCTGTCGACAAGGACAATTTGCACCGTTGACTATGCCATTTGGACCAACAGGAGCACCAGGCTACTTTCAATATTTCATGCAGGACATCCTGTTGGGACGGATTGGGAAAGACACGGCAGCTTACCTGGACGACATCATGATCTACACGCAGAAGGGAACCGACCACCAAGCGGCTGTCATGGGAGTATTGGAGACACTTAGCAAGCATCAACTTTGGCTGAAACCGGAAAAATGTGAATTCTCTCGACCAGAAGTGGAATACTTGGGACTGTTAATATCATGTAACCGGCTGAGGATGGACCCGACTAAAGTCAAAGCTGTATCCGAATGGCCACCGCCCAAGAATGTGACCGAACTACAGCGTTTTATCGGCTTCTCAAACTTCTACCGGCGATTCATTGACCACTTTTCAGGAATAGCCCGACCCCTCCACGACTTGACCAAGGACAAAACTCCCTACGTCTGGGACGACCATTGCAACAAGGCCTTTGAAACTCTGAAAACCGCATTCACCACGGCGCCAGTACTGAAGATAGCCAACCCGTACAGGCCTTTTGTCCTTGAATGTGATTGCTCGGACTTTGCACTCGGTGCCGTCTTATCCCAAATCTGCGACAAGGATCAGGAACTTCACCCGGTGGCGTATTTATCACGATCACTGGTCCAATCCGAGAAGAACTATGAGATTTTTGACAAGGAATTGCTGGCAATTGTGGCATCTTTCAAGGAATGGCGTCACTATCTCGAGGGCAACCCGAATCGACTACAAGCAATTGTCTACACTGACCACCGGAACCTTGAAAGCTTCATGACAACCAAGCAACTGACAAGGAGGCAAGCGAGATGGGCCGAAACCATGGGATGCTTTGACTTTGAGATTGTTTTCTGACCGGGCCAACAGTCATCCAAACCGGATGCACTGTCAAGACGACCCGACCTGGCGCCTTCGAAGGAGGACAAGCTCACCTTTGGACAACGTTTGCGACCCGAGAACATCACCCCCGACAATTTTGCTGAAGTGGCTGAATTTTACTGCTGGTTTGAAGACGAGTCTGTGGACCTGGATGACGCCGAACATTGGTTCCAAGTGGACATTCTTGGTGTGGAGGAGCCCAACACTCCGTCAGAGGATATTCCAACAGACAGCGAACTGATAAGCCAAATCCGATCTCTGACTCCATCTGATTCCAGACTGACCGAATTGATTTCAGCCTGTGAGAACCCAGTGTCCAGTCGAATGAAGGAGGCCACCAAGCATTACTCGGTGAAGGACGGGGTGCTCTACAGGAGCGGACGGATTGAAGTACCCAGGAATGAAGACCTCAAGACCAAAATTCTGAGGAGCCGCCATGACAGCAAGTTAGCAGGACACCCAGGAAGATCAAAAACGCTCTCGCTGATACGCCGCAGCTTCACGTGGCCATCCATGAAAAGCTTTGTCAACCGCTACGTGGATGGCTGCGACTCTTGTCTTCGGGTCAAATCCTCAACCCAGAAACCATTTGGGACGTTGGAACCGTTGCCCATCCCTGCAGGCCCGTGGACGGACATCAGCTATGATTTGATAACAGACCTCCCCCTATCCAACAATTGTGACAGTATCCTCACTGTGATTGACAGACTGACTAAAATGGCCCACTTCCTTCCTTGCAACAAGTCCATGAACTCTGAACAGCTTGCAGATCTTATGTTGAAACAGGTTTGGAAACTCCACGGCACACCAAAGACAATTGTCTCGGACAGAGGAAGTGTTTTTATCTCTCAGATCACACAAGAATTGGACAAGCAACTTGGAATACGGCTCCACCCTTCGACTGCCTACCACCCTCGAACTGACGGACAATCCGAAATTGCAAATAAGGCGGTGGAGCAGTACCTACGGCACTTTGTTCAGTACCG